TTTCCCTGGTAATTAGAGTGATATTCAGTGCTGGTCAGGGGGGTTTTTTTGGTGCTTGAAGCTTCAGCTTTTCTTTCCCTTCTTCCTTGATGAATAGTTGAACATGGTGAGTCAGCAAGGGAGATGCTGGAGGCCACCACCAAGTCACTCTTAGTTTGGGATAATGGCATGGAAAATAAGCCTTTAGTAACAGCCAGTGAGTGGGTTTCCATCCATATCATAGAATCATGGGATGGTTTGGGTTGGAAGGACCTTCAAGATCATCCAGTTCCAACCCTCCTGCATGGGCAGGGACACCTCCCACCAGCCCAGGCTGCTCCAAGCCCCATCCAACCTGCCCTTCAACACTGCCAGGGATGGGGACAAGGCTTGGAGGAGCTGGTGGCCACCAATGGATGTGGGTCATGCTGAAATGTGAGCAGGGAGCAGCTCGGCTGAGCTGAGCAGGGTCCTTCTGCTGCCACTTTGCAGCCCTGCGTGTTGGTGAGACCCTCGGGGCTCTTGGTGCTCATCCCCCAGCTCCTGAGCAGCCCTCTCATAATCTCAGGTGCCACCAGACAGCCCTTTCACCTGAAGGAGCTAAGGTTTCCACTGCCTTATGACTACATTCTGAGCTGAGGAAGTGACTTTGCTGAACTGGTGAAGTCAGCATGAATAACTCAAGCTCCAACACAAGTCCCTTCTCCACTGGGGAGTCAGCAAGTGAGGTTTTGGGTTCCTTACATTGGAGTTGGTGGCTCCCATGGCAGGACCATATGGCTCTAAGGGTGCACTGAACACCCTGCCTGTCCCTTCATGCTGGGGCGAGTCCCTGCTCCTCCCCTTGAATTCAGCTGCACCCACCCTAGGCCAGGCTTACACCCTAAAAAACACCTCCCCCAACACCCTAAACTTAACAAAGTGGGGGTTCAACCCTCTGCAGCACCTTAAAAAGGAAGATTTCTCAAAAAACTTTCTCTTTTGGGCAGCCATGGGGGGAAAAAAAAATGTTCAAATAATCCAGGGGACCAGCAGTGATCAAATCCACCCTGAAGAGAAGGTAGAAAAAATCCACCTGATGAGGGATGAGCTGCTCACATGTGCCAGAAAAGGGCACTGCTCTCTGGAGGAGAAAGGGAAAAGCCACCAAGTGGGGGCTTTTTTCCAGCACAAAAGAAGTTCCAAGGCTTCCAAATCACATCATCACCCAGCCCAGCTTTCATGGCAGTCCCAGGATTTTGCTGCCAGTACTGGCAGGAGAAATGGGAGCAGGGGAGAGAAAAGGCTTTGGTCGTGTTGGTGGCCAAAGGAAATGGAAATGGTTCTTGGGAAACTGGGCCAGCTGGGTTTTTCAAGGCCCAAATCCTGGGATTTGTGACCAAAAAGCTCTTGGAATGGTCTTAATGGTTAGGTTATTGTACAGGTCTCATGCCTTTGCTCTCAGTGGAGTCAGGTGGGACCTGCAGGTGAAGCAACCAAACACTTTCTAAAGGAAAACCCCCCAAAATGAGTGGCAATGACAAGCCAGGAGGGTGCAGGGTGATGACCCAGAGCCACCCTGCAGCCTGTCCAGCAGGGTCAAAGAACACGTGCTCTTCCTTCAGCCTGGCAAGGCCTCCTGGGCATTGCAACACTAGGAAGCAAACAAGGGAATAAACCCTGGAACGTCCCTTTTGTACCCCAGGAGGTGGGTTGTTTGTGGGGTTTGTTTTTTTTTAAGGCCTGGGAGAACTGGAGAGAGATTTGTTGTTGGGAATTCCCTGGGAACAGGCACTGTCTCTTTGCAGAGGTGCCAGCAGAGCAACTGGCCTCCATGGCATCTCTGAGGAGCCTCAACCTGAGGGCCAACCCTGTGGGTCCTGAGCTGAGGCTGCTGGTCAAGCCCCTGGTCCCCTTCGACCTGCTGCTGTCACCAGAGGAGCCCCCCCATGAAGCCTGAGAAGGTTTTGGGGTGCCTGGCCAGCTCTCCCCAGGGACAACGACCTACACGAGTGGTTTGGCTGAGGACAGTCCCTGCTCTCCAGTCCTTTTGTCCTTCATAACAAGCAAGCAGGACGGCTCCTCCAGGAAGGGATGGGTGGCTCTGCCAAGCACCCAAGCCAGGGAACCTCCTGCTTGGTGTTTTGGGGATGCACAGGGTTTGGGGGGCAAATTGGGGCAGTTGGATGTTCAGCTCCATCCCTCCCACCTGGCTGCTGATGAGGAGCAGCCAAGGCTGGGATGGTGGGGGACATCCCTGTGGTTTTGCCCCCTGGAATTGCTGACCTGGTGATGTGCCAAGTGCCTAATTAAACGTTGTCCTGCTCCACAGGAGTTTTTTTTTCTCTGCTTCCATTTTTTCAGTAATCAGCCTTCTCCTTCAAGAAGCCTCTTTGCTGAAGACTCCAGCTGGATTCTGCCCAGACCTGAGCCATACTTCCCTGGATTTTTCCAGGGGGAATTTTTTTTTTTTTTTTTCCCCAGGGAAATGGTTGCTTCATTTTCACTACAGAAATCAAAGCACCCCAGTTCCAGCCGGTCCCTCCCCCAAGAAGCCTGCACCCACCTCCTGGGTGCTGTGGGGCTTCAAGACATGCTGCCTCCTCTCCCAGGAAGAAATGGGCTGTGGGATTTGGGGTAGAGAGTGGCTCCTGGGGTG